GAAGGATGGGCGATCATTCCTGAAGCATATCTTGCTATCATAAAAGTGAGGAAGATGCACACCAACTTAAAATGATTGCATGAGTTCTTCAGCGTAATTTCCCTCGCAGTTTTCTTGCATTTAACATGGCACTTACAAAGGAACAACATGAAAATTCCATATGTTGAGGAAGCAAACTATGTTTATATTGGTTTTCCAGTTCCTCTGTACCAACATAAGTCTTTGTGACATGGGCCAAGATACATACATACATAATACGTATATTTTAATTGTTGAAGGCATAATTAAACAAATAAAAGTAAGTTTTTAGATGAAATTGTCACAAACTTCACCATAATATCAGAGCAGAAAAGATCATTCAAGTCTCTCTATTCCCCATTATAGAAAAGAATTTCCACATGTTTGGCCCATAAAAACGAATATCATGCCCGCACGCGAGAGGGGCTTGTTGAAGACATAAAAGTATGTTTTCTCTATAATCTTTTAGATGAGATGGTCAAACAGTATAGGATGACAACATCTAGTAAGAACAGATATTGAACAGAGCCACAGTGTAGTTTAATGTGTTTCTACTTTAGTTGAAGAGCATGTCTGGTATAAAATCTTTATTCATGTCTACTCCACCCATGTAATGTGGTCAGCAGACCTTTTGTCAAAGTGAGCACACACATTATGAATGTTTGAACTAACAAAAGGTATGTCATATAGGACTAAAACATTAAATTTGTGAATGTGAACTATTTTCTCATGAATTAAATGTCTAAAATTCCCAGAATTATTTCATACTGTACTATCTGAAACTCTGACCATCTGACAGATTTATGATAAGAAATATTGATGACAAAAGTCAGCACCTTTGAATACATTACATAGAACACTTCCAAACCTAATAATTAAGGCGACTCCATTAAAATGGAAAGAAGGAAGTATCTTTCTAGCTCATTACCAACAAGGTGACTAGACAGTACTGTACTAGAAAATCACCTTTAACCTTAAAACAACAAAATTAGCGATAAGACAAAAACAAAACCGAAAGCCTAATAGAGGTAAAATATGCCCAGATCCCAGTTTCTAGTTGCACTCCACTCAAAGATCTCACAGCCAGCTCTTACCTAATAGAGGTAAAATTAGACCAGATCCCAGATTCTAGTTGCATTCCGCAAAATTCGAAATGAATCAGAATGTACAACTGTCTACTACCATTTTCTCCTGTAGGAACACATGTCATACATCATTAGGGAAATAAGGAATTCCTCTCATTTGATACACTTAATTCGCTTTTGTACAACATATTGTTGTGAAAAATAGCAATAAGTGGCAATAACTCCCAATTCATCTCCCTTACACAGATATCGTGATAATTTTTACATGCCATTCAAGGACTAACATTATGATAAAACTATACAGACAGAGCTATCTTTCCATCTGAACAGCACAGTAGGCGACAGCTGACAGGTCCACTATTCACAAATAATCTACTTTCTTTATCTAGACTACTTTATTATCTATGAATTATACTCCTGATACCCACTCCCTCCCCCAAAAAGGAACCCCAGCTATCAACCCAAATAATGCTAGCAAAGAATGAGTTGGGCAGACGTACACTGAGGTTGAATAAGTAAATTCACTTTCTCCCCTTTTCTCATCGTTTTGATCGCTTTTGGTAATGCTTGACAAAAATGGCCTAAATGAAAACAGAGTTGGTTAGTCAAATATACGGAATATACTATCAGTTGATACTTGATAGCACAAATTTGTTGATCCTCAAGCACAAAAACAAAGATACCAAGGTACCATCTTTGACATAAAACTCCACTCCATGTTCAGATGTTTTTGCAACAGTGATGCCGTCAAGCACCCTCACCACATACCTCACTGCAAAATCAAGGACATCTTATCTATAAACAACTGATAAATGCAATATCACGAGTAAGACCACATAAAATGCAGATACTGGCACTAGCAATATTTCTTTTTCTTTTGGTTTCCTGATAGTTAATTCTTTTTGGGTACAAACTAAACACAGAACATAATCAAGTACCTAGAACTTCATCCAAGTCACCAGGAGGTCCTATCATCTCCCCCTTCTCCAAAATTTTCTTGATAATACCACCATCCTTGCAGACATCCACCACTGTGATCCATGATACGAGTTCGACTTCAAACTGAACGACACTATTCAATGAAACTACATCCGAGTCTGACGATCCAAAAGCAGTTTCCGAAGGCAAAGTGAACAATGCTCCTTCACCTTTCCTCATCGTGACAATGCCACGGTCTAAGCCAGCAGCAACTTTCTCTAACCAACAAAAGCAAACTTATTAAGCTTAATAAATAGAAACCAAATAATGGATGCACAAACTCAGTATCAACAAAAGAAACTACTTTTTCCTACAATCTCTTAAGCAAATTATAAGGAAAAATGGTAAGAGAAATGGCCAATTATAGCAAAATAAACATTTTTCGCAACTTTAAACATTATTATTAATTATCAACTACACACCAATATAGGAGTAATAAGGTAACTAGACCGAAGGGGAAGTTGTATGGGGTAAATTACTGTGAACACGTGGTCGCATAGGATGAAGACGTACGATAGTAGGATAATGATAAAAACAGAGCTGAGTAAAGACTCCAGAGGCAAGCGATCTTCAAAGAATCACAAGCAAGAGTAATCGGGGTTGTTATCGATATCAGTCACTTCTACCAAAACCATTGGAGTTGTTGGCGATGAAGGAAGAGACCCGTGGCCCGAAGGCACGTTAGAAGAAATAAAAGACTTGTGGCCTGACGCACGTTAGAAGAAATAAAGGAATTATGGCACGAAGTCATGAGAGGAGAAAGAAAGGACAGACGCATCAACTAATTCCGTACAGGATCCCGTAAATCACAACAGATTTACAGTTGTGCACATAATGATATACCCAGGTGGAGCTTTTCTATTGGATGACGTACTATAGGGTCCAAGCAGAGCGATTTCATATCTTGATGTATTCTACATTTCTATCTGTTGTCTATAAATAGCTGAGTTATTCATTTGTAAAAAGGTTGGATTTTCAACAATACAAAGCACTACATTGATATTCTTGCATTCAGAGCTCTCTCTTATAACATTACCAACTAAGGCAATATTCATAAAATCATACATATAAAGACCTTTTATTCTGGAACCAACACTGTCACCGGAATCAGGATTGAGCAATGATATTTTGACTTCACTGTTCCATTTGCTAATTTATTCAAATTATTATTCTTTATACATTTATTCACTAATGTTTTTGCTTACTTAATCTAAATCTTAGAAGTCGAATCAATCCGCGTGTCCTTAACCTCGTAAAAAATTCATTTTTCAAGTAAACATAAGTAACAAGAGTAACCAAGAACTCACCTTGACCAAGTTTGAATGTAACAGGTTCACCTTTGTCCCTGGTGGAAACAGATTTGGTTCCATCATGTAGGATACCAACATAATGAACTGCAACACAATAAATAAAGTAGAAACATTTCAATTAAAAACAAATATTCCTTCATGGTATTTGACTGGATATGGAATTCAATAACATAGAATTTCACCCAAATATTAAATTGCTGATATGTATTGATAGAAAAGTTAATTTTGATTAAATAAACTAATCAATTTATCTTGAAACTGTTGCGTCGATTAAATTTCAGAATTACCGGTGACTTCATCACCAAATTCAGGGGTCTCCCAACCCTGACCATGCTTAAGAAGCTTCTTCTTGAGTCCATTTGAGTTAATTTCCCTTTCTTCACCAACATTGAGCGGTGGTGCTGATTCTATCTCTTCACCTGGCTCTTCATCCAGTTCATCATCTTCATCTATAAATGCTTGGGCATTGGCCATGGAAAATTCCACCATTTTTGTTACTTCTAATTACTGTTTACTAAGAATTTATAACTTAAAGCGGAGTTCTATGAAGTGATTTATACGGAGGTCGGAGGTCGGAGATCGTACGCCGATGAAAACCAACGGAGGAGCAAGTAGAGCGGAGTGTTCGCGTGCAGTGACAGTAGCTTCCAGTAACTACGAAGTCGTTTGAAGTGGGCTGGGCTTTGTATAGACTAAAAGATTGGATCAGCCCAACACACTTCCTTACAAGTGAAAAGTTTGTGGCTTTCAATAGAACTATGTTCCTTCGTACGTTTACTGTTATTGATTTTGAACCTTTTAGTGAAAATTTTGGAAATGATAAATCGAGTCGAACAGAGGAAAAAACTTGGTTAGTGATTTGGTTTAAAGTTTAGTACTGAAAAAATCGATTACTGGCCACGAATTGTATTGAATCTCCCCTATATTGGCTCTCACTTTTTTAGTTTGACTCAATTATCGGTTGACTTTTTATCGTTATGAAAAAATTTCATTTTTCCCTCAACCTCTAATGGAGTTTCTATAAAAAGAAAATATTAAATTATAGTTATAAAGTTGAGAGGCGAATTCAAACTTTTTTATTATTTAAGAATCTGAAAACGTGAAATTTACTCATTTCACACTAAAATTTTATTAACTACATTATTATAAGGGTGTGCATTCGGTTTGGTTTTGTACTATTTGGTTTGGATTTTTCAGTTTTTGGTTTTGAAGAAGTGTAACCCAAACCAAACAAAGTAAATTATTAATCCAAAACCAAAAAACCAATCCAAATTAGAATTCGGTTTGATTTGATTTTTCGGTTTAATTCAAATAATGCACACCCCTAACTACATACAAGATTAAATATGAGATGATTTACTAACAATAGGGAATGAAATATGAATGAACTCAAGAGTAATATATATGGAGCTTAAAATGACATTAAAGACTTTTATACATTGATGTTTTCAGCAATTCACGGTTGGTTTTAAAGTGCGACTGGTTGTTATAAATGTTCTTTACATCGTCAACGCATAAAACTTAACTCAAATTAGGATGAATTCATGAGTGATTACAATGAAATGTTGACATTGATAATTACAAATTGTGATACTGATACATTTGTTGATTACAAGGGCTGGCAAGACATCCACCTTGTGAGCATGGCCAGACATTCACGAGGCTTATATTCTGGTGCAGTATGCCCTGCTCCCTGTTAAATAATAAAATTAACAAATCAATTTTAACACCAATTATTTGACAATCTTTCTAACTTCAGACTAAGAAAAAAGAAGAGGTAAAAAGATAGATTGAGAGACTAGTTTCCTTGCCTTCACTGTGGCAAATGTCATCTGATTTGAATAACTTCTTGTGTAACTGAAATCGTGCCAACGAAAGAAAAGAAAAACGGTTCAGCATCTATACAGTGACAGAGTTTACGACTAATGTATCTTGAAGTGTCCACAATGTATGTCTTTCATCAAGAACTAACCCGGCAACTTGATTGTCAACAGTCCAGGCTCGCCAATCATCGACAATTGAGTAGTTAAGAGATTTTATCCATGCTTGAGTTGATCGAAAGGTAACAACCTTGTCATGATCTCCACTGTTCAATTCAATAAAACATTAGAGAAGTTGTTAGTTTCACATAGTTATTCCAATATTGTTGTAAACACAATTAATATCTCAACTCAACCTGTATACAAGAGATCTGTAACCTTTGCTACTGAGGTTTTCATGATAAGGTATGCTATTTGTGACCATCTTTTGGAATTGCAAAGTTGCACATCTCTCCCATTTTCCGATAGTCCCCTTTTAATGAATGAATATGTTAGTCTGAGTTTAAGTTCTACACATTGACAATAAGAAAATAAGTAAAATTCATTTAGTTTTGTGTCATACCTTCCGGATGTTGAGGGCGTCTCTAACTTGATCATCATCAGCCCAATGATCAGAATGTTTGTACCAAGTATTCTATAGTAATAGCACATTGTAAATTCTTGTAATCAATATAGCAGATACAAAAATCAATAGCCTAAAGAATGCAATATTGTATAGATAATAATTGAAGATGGAAAGGCAAATACTCACGCGACATTTTAGTCCAGGAAGATTGTTAAGTTCATGTAACTTCTCATCAAGAGATCTTCTTTCGCCAAACAATTGGTGTGGCCTTGGCGAAAAACGCTTACATTTGGGCTCCAAAATATGGGGCTTATTAATTCCTTTAAGAAGCTGCATATAAGATCAGTATTTTAATACCAAATAAAACAAGTAGATCATATTTGATTTTGCTTCAAATAGAATCCAACCTCTTTAAAAGTCTGAACATCTTGCAAACACAGTGAATTGCTTGGATTTATATTAAGGTATTCTCCTTTACAATTGGTATTCAAAGACTGGTTCAGAAAAGTAAGCCAATAAGTGTAAGTAAAGTTAATGAAAGTGTACCGATATGATACCGAAGAAAACCCAACCTCATAGAGTTCATCAGAAATAAGTCCCATTCCATGAGCATATGGAATCTCATAATTGTTTTCACCTTCAAAAGTCATTGGATTTCCGAGTAAATATCCCTGAAAAAAATGTTCTTTTTATTGTGATATTGTTCTACGTACATTGACCTGTAGGATAGGGATGGCAATGGGGCGGGGTGGGGCAAACCCGCTTAAACCCACTAAGATTTCTACCCTCCCCGCTTCGTCCCACCTAGCATGATTGCCATCCCTATGTAGGATCTCTTCAGCAAAAACTAATATGTTTCTATGCAATCTTTAGCTGGGATAGGATAGGAGGGCAAAGGATGTTCATTACAGAATAAACATTTGTTATAGCAATCTCATTATGAGTTGCCGTTTATCCCTAAGGGGAAAGATAATTTATATAAGAAAAAATGACGAACCTTGAGATTGATAAATGGTTTGATTTCCATTTCATTCTCTGCAATATCAAGGGCAAAATGTTATAGGACTAAACCAGCAAAGCATGATCCAAGAAAGTAACTTAATGCAAATATAGTCTTACTACTGGCTATAATTTGACTAATAATGGGAACAACCATCCCCGAGTACGAGTCTCCACCAATGTATAATGGATTCTTTAGAAATGCTGGGTGATCTACAAACCACTGCAAAAACATTTTGAAGTTCAGCAAAAAGTTCAGACACCTAAAAGGCGGAGAAACTAAGTGAAATGTGATACTCACTTGACACTGATCCAACATCGGTAATGAGTTGCATTAGATATACAAAAGTTTTTCAATACTAACAGAGGTCTTAGACCTCCTATGCTGACTGCGAAATCACAAATAACGATAAATGTAATTACCTTGCGAAGGAACTGATATGCATGATCACTTGCTTGTAAATCAGATGATTGTAGAGCTGCTGGAGTTTTCGCGTAGGAAAATCCAGTGCCCATCGGCAAGTCTATGAAAATAATGCTTGCCACCTAAATTCCATGATATTTTTAACATTCTTGAATTGTGCACAAACTTTATGTACATTACACAGTACAATTTCAGTATCAAATACTCTCACCTTTGTCCATGAGTAAGGATTCAGTATCATTGTAGGCAAACTCCCATTGTATTCCACTGCCTCAAACGTTATTGGTCCTTCATATTCATAGTTCCAAAAGTTTAGAAAGTATAACTTAATAGCTTGTTAAATGCCAGAAACTTTTAGGATTCAAATCAACTAATTATACTTTTTATTTGTGGTATTTAATCTAAGTTGTCAATGATCTGAACCAAAATATTTTTCTTATTTAGCTTGATGAAGCGTGATCAACAACATACCTATAGTTTAATTCCACAAGTGGGTCTAAATATAGTAGACGGACCTTACCCCTATCTCGTGAAGGTAGAGAGATAGTTTCTGATGGACCTTTGGCTCAAGAGTAGCAAATTAAAGCAATTATGAAAAAGATTACATGCAGTGAAGCGAACATGACAACTAATAAGAAAAGCAGCATAGAGATCATTTAGAGAAAAAGAATAGTAACATTAACAAGGTAATGCGAAACAAAAATCAAAGAACAAGAAATTAACTACGAGAATAGAGCTAGTAATACGACAAACATGGAGCTCCACATTAACACCAAGCTTATCCCGCAAAAAGTGAGACAATGTTGTACTATATACTAACCTTCTACCTAATTCACGACTTCTATACCCTCCTCTCTCAGGTCATGTCGTCAGTAAGTTGAAGATGAGACATGTCATGTCTAATCAACTCTCCTTAGTACTTCTTCGGCCTACTTCTACCTCTCATCATATCCACTATTTCCAACCCCTCACAACTCCTCATTAGAGCTTTTGTGCATCTCCTCTTCACATGTCTAAATCATCTCAGCCTTGCTTCCTTTATCTTGTCTACCATGTTAAGAATTTCCACATCAGAAAAGGGATGAAAATTTGATCTCCTTATATGGACTTGGACAGCCTCATGAGCTAGCTTTTGAGATTGAGTTAGGCCCAAGATCCATCTCTATACACCATGGAGATCACGCCCACCTTGTCCTAGATATTTCTATTCCTAATCTTATTTCTCTTTATATGCCTATACATGACACATCCATCTCACCGTCCTCATTTTCAAAACTTGCATATTCTAAATATAAGAGTTGTTAACTGACCAACAACTCAACTCATGCAAAAGAGTCCATTGAACCACTACTGTATAGTAATTATCTTTTAAGTTTTGGTGGTACCTTCTTATCAAACAACTTGAAGCATGATGAAGAGGTGTAAATCAAAGGTTAATTACATTTTTTTACACTATGAATGAAACTTAACATGTTCAATTGAAATTTTTACTAGGTTACCTATACATACCAATCTCATAGATAATGCCAGATAGAGCAGAGCAACCAGGTCCTCCAGTGATCCAAAGCATTAGAGGGTCAGAGTCTGGATCAGACTCCGACTCTATAAAATAATAGAATAATTGCACATCATCTGAATCACCAACTCCTACATACCTGGAAACACCAGTCAATTATATGAGTTTTAAGTAAATCACTTGAAAAACATAACTCTAATAATTCCTCACCCAGTTTCAAGTTGAAAAGGAAGGGGTCCTTTAAATCCTGGAAGAAACTTCACTGGAGAACCAGCTATTGCAGGCCTTGAACAAAGCTCTGCAACAACAAGAACCAAAAATAAATAACATAGCTCTGTTTTTGTCATATTTCTTCTACAACAGAGTTTTCTTGAAGCTTAGTTTGTCATATATATTACTCCCTCCGTTTTATAAAGAATGACCTGGTTTAACTTGGCACGGAGTTTAAGTAAAGAAAGAAGACTTTTGAATCTTGTGGTCCTAAATTAAAGTTATGTCAAATGTACAAAATTGCCCTTAATCTTGTGGTCTTAAACATGCCACGTGGAAAATAAAAAGTAAAATGTTACCAAAAAAGAAAAAAGGTCATTCTTTTTGAAACTGACTAAAAAAAAAGAAGGTCATTCTTTGTGAAACGGATGGAGTATATTTATATATATCTTCTACTACTTATATATAAGTGGCAATAAGCAGACATGCTTGCCGACCAAGGGCATCTTTGGAATAACACTATAATTTTGCTATGATATGTTGTACATTGTAGGATCGATTGTTGGACGTTTTGAGATTTTGACACAAAGCCCAATGGTTTTTTTGCTTAATTCAAATAGCAGATCATTCATTGCTTTTTTATGTTTTGATTTTGCCCCGGATTTGATCTTCTATTACATGATTGCCTGCAGATAATTTCGTAAATATTGCAAAACCAAAGGATGATTCTATTTAAAAAGGCATTAATTGATGTCAGAGAGTACACCTGCCAAGTCCATTAACTTTTCCACAATTGTGATCCCACGTGCTTATCCTTTATTCATAGACATATTTTTTCTCTCTCTCTCTTTATAAAAATTCTATATTCACAATTTAGCTTTTGTTAATTAAAAAAAAAAATCACAATGAGCTTTTGTTAATAAAAACAATCACAATTATTATTAAAAATCGTCCACTTTAATGTATATAATATTTTTGCAGTAATGAGATAATAAAGACAATTGTAAATTAATACAATTTTAGTAGTTAATATTTAATAATTAACAACATTTAATTGACTCTTAAAATTTTATTTGTGCCATATACATTGGGATAAGAGAAGTAACATATATTATAAAAATTTACTTAAAAAGTACAATAAATTACAATAATCAAAAGAAGTAACATGTAATATTTAATTTGGAAACTACGTATAAAGTATTGTAAATCTCAATAATTAACAACATTTGATTGACTCTTGAAATTCTATTTGTGCTACATACATTGGGATAACAGAAGTAACATATATTATTAAAAATTTATGTTAAAAGTACTATAAATTACAATAATCAAAAGAAGTAACATGTACTCCTAATATTTAATTCGGAAACTAAGTAGAAAGTATTGTAAATCTCAATAATTAACAACATTTGATTGACTCTTAAATTTTATCTGTGCTACATATATTGGGACAAGAGAAGTAATATATGTTATTTAAAAATTACGTGAAAATACTATAAATTACAATAATTAACAATTTAAAATATTTAAAAATATTATTAAAATTTAATTGACTATCTAAATTCTATATGTCACATAAAGTGATACAAAAACATAACAAATATAGGGCCCGTGCTAGCACGGGCACTTGTGTCTAGTCTATATATAATAAGTCACAATGCAAATATATATAAAGTATTTAGTTACATTGTAACTATCTTGTTAGCTTTCAACCAAAAGCTAACAAGATTTTTAGTTACATATTTATTATTTGGTTAAATAATAAATATGTCATTGTATGAGCTATTTATTACTCATTCCTTTTGAATTTGTTAATCTGATTTTGATCTAACACATAGTTTACGAAAGTAAATTAGATTTTGAGAAAAAACATTAAGTGATACTTGAAGTTGTCCCAGATTTTCAAAAAAACACCTTAACTTTGTGTGCGTCCTATTACCCCACAAAACATTCAAAATCACAATAAATACACATTTTTTACACAATATTTCCACTTTGGACAAAAATATCCTTCGAATGTGCAATTTCTTAAAAACAAAAAGTCGGACCCATTATTGATGTATTGAAGGATGCTTTGGTAATTTCTTATGATGAATTCGTTTTGTTTGTTTCTTTTAAATTTATTTTACTATACTAAATAATTGTATAAAATATTATGAATCACAATAATTAATTACTTAAATATTTAAAAGATATAAAAATATATAAAAGATCTGATTGACTCTTCAAATTTTATCGGTGACACAGAAATTGGGACAAATGAAATAATATAATATTATTTGAAAATTTCTTAGAAAGTACTATAAATTACAGTAATTAACAGCTAGAAATATTTTAAAGACAAAAAAAATTGATTGAATCTCAATTTTTTTTTAGTATTACATAAATTGAGAAAGAAGAAATAACTTCTATTATTTGAAAATGGCGTAAAAATATTACAAATCATACAATAAGAACTAACAATTTAAAATTTTAAAAGACTTTAATGCTTTATACTTATTCTATTTCCACTTTGGACAAAAATATCCTCCCAATATGCATATTTTTTTAAACAAAAAGTGGGACCCATTATTGATGTATTCAAGGATGCTTTGGTAATTTTCCTATGATGAATTCGTTTTGTTTGTTGTTTAATTTTTTTTAAATAATTGTATAAAATATTATAAATCACAATAATTATTTACTTAAATATTCAAAAGATATAAAAATATGTAAAAGATCTTATTAACTCTTCAAATTTTATCGGTGACACATAAATTGGACAAATGAAATAATATATATTATTTGAAAACTACATAGAAAGTACAATAATTTATAGTAATTAACAATAGAATATTTTAAAGACAAAAAAATTGATTGAATCTCGAAATTTTATTAGTACCACAAAAATTGAGAAAGAAGAAATAATCTTTATTATTTCAAAATTGCGTAAAAGATATTACAAATCATACAACAATAATTAGCAATTTAGAATGTTAAAAGACATAAAAATGTTTTTACCATAGTTAACAATAATTAAAAATTTAAACTATTTTAAATTAATATTAAAGTTTGATTAACTCTTTAATTTTGTCTTTGTCACATAAATTGAAACAAAAAATGATACATATTGGGCCCGTGCTAGCACGGGCTCCGATGTCTAGTATTATAATAAATGACAATAAATAGATAAGTATTACTTTCTCTATCATAATTTGTTAATTCTATGATTTGATTTTGTACAAAGTTTAGTTAATAAAATAATTATTTTAAAATAAATAAATTATAATAATATAAAATAAAGGGAAAAAAGATGAATTTATCCCCGAACTTTAATAAATGGTACGTCTATGCCCTCCGTTATACTTTGCGTCCACATAAGCCCCTGTCATCCAATTATAGGTACACACATGCCTCTCTCACTAACGGATCCCTCATTTTTTACACGTGTCTTAATCCTAATGAACTACCCGTTTGACCTTTTTTTTTAACCCATAAATCAACTATCCGCCCCATAACCCAATACCCACCCAAATTAACAGGTCCCATATCTCACACACAAAACCCTTGCCTAGTTTTGTGTTCCCCTGCAGTTTCTCCCTTTCTTCTTCTGAAATCACCAAACAATTTCCAAAATTGCTAGCACACCTCCACATCTCTGTTTTTGTGTATAACTTCTAATAGAAGTCAGTGATCTTCCCCTTGATCCTTGTTGGGTCATCAGTTGTTACTCCTTGTACATGAATTGTTCTATGTTATTGTATCTTTTATGGGCAATGGGAACTTGGTGATCCTATCACCCTCTTTAAGACAAAGAGATGTAGACTTTTGTTTCCACGAGCACTCTTCATTTTTATTGACTTCCTCATAATCCAATAATAATGTAGCTTTCATCCTCAGTCAAAGTCGTCACAGCAAGCATTTTGTCCATATCTGCTAACTGGCTGAGGATGTTCTTTCTTTAAGAGTAAAATTTCCTTGCAAACTTCTAATCTATTCGTTGAGTTTTGCTTTGAGTGCCTTCATTTTACAAGCCAAGATGAGGGAGACGACAGATAGATGAAAAATTGACTACTAAATTATGACCAACACACGATAGATTCGACGAAGACAAGGTGGAATCGACCAACAAATTGGAATCGACGAAAGAACTAGGCTAGGATTTTGTGTGTGAGATACGGGGCCTGTTAATTTGGGTCTTTTAATTAGGATGCCTTTTAGAGGAAATTGGGTGGATATTGGGTTATGGGGCAGATAGTTGGTTTATGGGTTAAAAAAAAAAGGTCAAACGGATAGTTCATTAGGATTAAGACACGTGTAAAAAATGAGGGGTCCGTTAGTGAAAGGAGCATGTGTGTACTTATAATTGGACGACAGAGGCTTATATGGACACAAAATATAACGGAGGGCATAAACGTATCATTTATTAAAGTTTGGGATAAATCCATCCTTTTTCCCTAAAATAAATAACATAGCCCTGTTTTTGTCATATTTCTTCTACAACAGAGTTTTCTTGAAGCTTAGTTTGCATATATATAACAATATATAGATAAGTATTACTTTCTCTATCATAATTTGGTGATAATAAATCATCTTAAAGGTGTGTCTGGTAGGAAGGAAAATGAGCCAAACAAATTCAAGATCAAAATCCAATTTTTGCTCCATTTTTTCTATTGTAGCCTACCCTATCGACTAAGAATTGAAAGACTTGGTGAAATAATTCATATAACCCCCCCCCCCCTCCCCTCCCCGATAAAAAGTCAAAGAATCTTTTTTAAAAAATAATTAAATTTAATTAAGCTAATTTAGGGAGTAGAGAATACAAGATAGATGAATTCTTTTGCATCTCGATTTAGTTTTTGAAAAAAATTTAGAAATAACAATCACCTTCCAACTAACATTTTTGATTTTATACAAAATATTGTTAAAAATAATAATCTATATTTTCAGAGAATATATATGTTCTGGGATGTAAATCTTTTCCATGGGAAATATTTTCTTAAAAAATATTATCTAGTCTAGATAAATAAGTAGGTAATCTACATATTTTCTTGTGTTCCATCAAGAGATTTATTTTCAAGAAAATATTTTTCTAAATTTTTTTTTTTTTATTAGAACATGAAATGATTAAAAGATATGTTTCACAATATCGAACACATCTTAAGTATAAATTAAAAAAACTTAAAGTTAATTTATTACTAATTAAAAATATATTGACGTGTATCACTATTCTTAGAACGAATTAAAAAGGAAGAGTGTTGCCTAAATTTGAAAGAGAAAAAAAACGCCCTTAAATTTGACGTGAATAATTACATTAATCTCTCAACTATTGACAATCTTAAAAACACTCATTTTTATGTCACATCTTATCCACCCAAACATGGATCATATATGTGGTATTTTCTATTGATATGACACACACATAATATATATAATAAAATAAATATTTAAAAAATATTTAATAGTTAAATCCTATGAATTTAATAATTTAAGAAGACCTTTTTAATAGTAATAGTTTTTTCTATTTTATTTTACTATATTAGTACACACATGGGTGGATAACACGTGGCATAAGAGGGGTGTTGTAATATTATTTAATCAAGTAGAAAAGTGTTATAAGGTTATCAATAATCAGGAGATTAAAGTAAAAATTCACATCAAATTTAAGATTGTTTTCATATTTATCTAAAAATAAAATACGAGACAAAAGGGACATTACGTGTTCAAGATGATTTGCAAATACCAATTTTTAATCATCTTGAATTTTCGTCCTTGAGAATTTTGTTTCCTCTCTTCCAAAATGTATCATTGTTTCTCTTCTTCTAGCAGAATCAATTGACATTGTGATGTCTAATTATTTGAAAAGATTTCAAGTTTCATTTATTGTTGGTGTATAAATTTTTGTATCATCAGATTAAGTAAATTTACAATTGATGAGAGGGATAAGAATCCCGTTCGTTACATGGAGTTCCTAGGGAGGGTAAAAAATAAAATAAAATAAGTAAATTTACAATTATAAATAAATTTTCATAATAAAGCCGATATGATAGTCTGAAAAATATAGTATTAATCGATCATAGTTGCTTAAATTACACTAATAAGTAATATATAATGATAAGTAAAACTTAAATCCATTAGGGAAAATAATACTGCGTAAACTAACACAGAACAAACATGATATTCATACAATTCACTCTGTCAAACATTTCGAGGTTACTGGACATTGACGTGCATTAATAAAAAATAATAATTAATAAATAAAAACGTAGACCAAATGACAAATTTTGTTTAATTTCTGGGACTAGAGAAGACAAGATGTACACAGTCTTATCCCTACCTTTATTAGGTAGAGAAAACTGTTTCCTATTGAATCGACAACCCTCTTTTTATTCATCTGGACTTGAGACTGACAATGAGCTCACACGATTAAACAATTGTAATACATTTGTTGATTACAAAGGCTGGTAAGACATCCACCTTGTGAGCATGGCCAGACATTCACGAGGCTTATACTCTGGTGCAGTATGCCCTGCTCCCTGTTAAATAATAAAATTAACAAACCAATTTTAACAATTTGACAATTTTTTTTAATCAAGTGAAAAAATAGATTGATAGAAGGTTTTCTTGCCTTCACTGTGGCAAATGTCATCTGATTTGAATAACTTCTCGTGTAACTGAAATCGAACAAACGAAAAAAGAAAAAGAAAAAAGAGTTTAACATCTATAAACTGACAGAGTTTATGACTAATATACCATACGATAATTTTAAAATGTACGTCTTTCATCAAGAACTAACCCGGCAACTTGATTGTCAACAGTCCAAGCTCGCCAATCATCGACAATTGAGTAGTTAAGAGATCTTATCCATGATTGAGTTGATAGGAAGGTAACATTCATGTCATGATCTCCACTGCTCAATTAAAATAAAATAAAATAGAGAAGTCGGTATATTTCTGTTTGTAGTTATTCAAATATTGTAAACACAATTAATATATCAACTCAACCTGTATATAAGAGATCTGTAACCTTTGTTACTGAGGTTTTCATGATATGGTATGCTATTAAAGATCATCTCTTCGTATTGCAAATTTCTTGCACATCTCTCCCATTTTCCAATAGTCCCCTGTTACCAAATGAATATGTTAGTTTGAGTTTAACGTTCTATGCATTGACGATAAGAAAATTACTTAAATTCATTTAGTTTTGTGTCATACCTTTCGGATGTTGAGGGCGTCTCTAACTTGATCATCATCAGCCCAATGATAAGAAAGTTTGTACCAATCAGTCTAAAGCAATTGCAAGTTTATAAACAGATACAAGAAATCAATAACTTAAAGAATGAAATTACTATGTAAATAACATTTGAAGATGGAACGATGAATACTCACGCGACATTTAAGTTGATGACACTTTTCATCCAGAGATCTTCTTTGGCCAAACAGTAAGTGTGGCCTTGGTGAAGCAAACACACATTTGGGCTCCAAAATATAGGGAACATTAATTCCTTTAAGAAGCTGCATTCATATAAGGTCAGCTAATGCCCAAATAAAACAAGTAGATAATATTTAATTTTACTTCAAATAAAATCCAACCTCTTTAAAAGTTTGAACATCTTGCAAACACAGTGTATTATTTGGATTTATATTAAGGTATTCTCCTTTACAATGGGTCTTCAAAGACTGTTTCAGAAAAGAAATTAAGCCAATAAATGTAATCACAGTGTACAAAATATAACACTAAAGAAAAGCCAATTACCTCATAGAGTTCATCAGAAATAAGTGCCATTCCATGAGTAAATGGAATCTTATAATTTGCTTCGCCTTCAAAAGTCGATGGATTACCGAGTAAATATCCCTGAAATTATTTGAAGATATATAATATAGGTCATCCATTTTGCGTATCTTTAACCATTTGTGTTGTAACAACTTCATTATGAGTTGTGTTGGCAAGAAAAACAACAACCTTAAGATTAATAAATGGTTCGACTTCCATTTCATTCTCTGCATTATCACAAGGCCAACAAAATGTGAGAGCATAGTACTAAACCAACAAAGCATGATCCAAAAAAAGTAACTACAATTGTTGGAGGGCAACTATAGTCTTACTAATTGCTATGATTTGTGTAAGGAAGGGAACAATCCTGCCTGAATATGAATCTCCACCAACATAAAACGGATTCTTTAAGAATTCTGGATGATCAACGAACCACTGCAAAAAATAATCATATTATAGCAGGGTACATAGTTAATAAAGTTCATTCCTTTTTGAAGTTCAAACAGCTAAGTAATAATTACCTTGCAAAGGAACTGATATGCATGATCAGTCGCTTGTAAATCGGATGATTGTAGAGCTGTTGGAGTTGTCGCGTAGGAAAATCCAGTGCCCACCGGTAAATCTATGAAAATAATACTTGCCACCTAAAATTTCCATGATATTTTTAACATTTTTGAATTGTGATCAAACCTTATGTACATTACAAAGTACAATTTCAGTTTCAAATACTCTCACCTTTGTCCATGAGTAAGGATTCAGTATCATTGTAGGCAAACTCCCATTGTATTCCACTGCCTCAAATGTTATTGGTCCTTCATATTCATAGTTCCAAAAGCTTAGAAAGTATAACTTAATAGCTTGCTAAATGCCAGAAACTTTTAGGATTCAAATCAACTAATTATACTTGTTATTTGTGGTATTTTAATCTAAGTTGTCAGTGATCTGAACCAAAATATTTTTCTTATTTAGCTTGATGAAGCATAATCGACAACATACCTAGTTTAATTCCACAAACATGGTCTGGACATAGTAGAATGTACGCAGACCTTACCCCTACCTTGTGGAGGTAGAGAGATAGTTTTTGATAGAAAGTAGCAAATCAAAGCAATTATGTTGTGAAAAAAGAAAACACGCACTGAAGCGAACATGACAACCAATAAGAAAAGCAACACAGAGAGCATTCAGAGAAAAAAATAGTAACATTAACAAAGTAATGCGAAACAAAAATCAAAGAACAAATAAAGTTAGTAATACGGCAAACACGGTGCTCTAGTCTACCACCAAGCTTATCCCGCAAAAAGTGAGACAATGTTCTACAACATACTAACCTTCTACCTAATCTGCGACTTTTATACCCTCGTATGCCAGGTCAAGTATTGAAGATGATACATGTCATGTCTAATCAACTCTCCCTAGTACTTCTTCGGCCTATTTCTACCTCTCATCACATCCACTAATGTCAACCCCTCACAACTCCTCATTAGATCATCTGTGTCTCTCTTCTTCACATCTCTGAATCATCTCAGACTCGCATATTCATCTCTTCCACCATGGAGATCACTCCCACCTTGTCCTAGATATCATCATTCCAAATATTATCTCTTTTGGCACCCACACATCCATTTTAACATCCTCATTTTTAAAACTTGCATCTTCTTATTTAGCTTGATGAAGCGTGATCAACAACACACCTATAGTTTAATTCCACAAGTGGGGTCTAAACATAGTAGAATGTATGCGGACCTTACCCCTATCTTGTGAAAGTAGAGAGATAGTTTCTAATGGACCTTTGGCTCAAGAGTAGCAAATTAAAGCAATTATGAAAAAGATTACATTCAGTGAAGTGAACATGACAACTAATAAGAAAAGCAGCATAGAGATCATTTAGAGAAAAAGAATAGTAACATTAACAAGGTAATGCGAAACAAAAATCAAAGAACAAGAAATTAACTACGAGAATAGAGTTAGTAATACGACAAACACGGAGCTCCACATTAACACCAAGCTTATCCCGCAAAAAGTGAGACAATGTTGTACTATATACTAACCTTCTACCTAATTCACGACTTCTATACCCTCATCTCTCAGGTCATGTCGTCAGTAAGTTGAAGATGAGACATGTAATGTCATGTCTAATCAACTCTCCTTGGTACTTCTTCGGCCTACTTCTACCTCTCATCATATCCACTATTTCCAACCCCTCACAACTCCTCATTAGAGCATTTGTGCCTCTCCTCTTCACATGTCTAAACCATCGCAACCTTGCTTCCTTTATCTTGTCTACCATGTTAAGAATTTCCACATCGGAAAAGGGATGAAAATTCGGTCTCCTTATATGGACTTGGACAACCTTATGAGCTAGTTTTTGAGATTGAGTTAGACCCAAGATCCATCTTTATACACCATGGAGATCACACCCACCTTGTCCCAGATATTTCTATTCCTAATCTTATTTCTCTTTATAGTCCTACACATGACACATCCATCTCATCGTCCTCATTTTCGAAACTTGCATATTCCAAATGAAACTTAACAATTAACATGTTTGATTGAAACTTTTACTAGGTTACCTATAGGCTATACATACCAATCTCATAGACAAGGCCAGATAGAGCAGAGCAACCAGGTCCTCCAGTGATCCAAACCATAAGAGGGTCGGAGTCTGGATCAGACTCCGACTCTATAAAATAATAGAATAATTGCACATCTTCTGAATCACCAACTCCTACATACCTGGAAACACCAGTCAATTCAAAAACATAACTTTGATTATATGCAAACTTATTTCTGATTTAATTTCTCACCCAGTTTCAAGTTGAAAAGGAAGGGATCCTTTAAATCCTGGAAGAAACTTCACTGCTAAACCAGCTATTGCAGGCCCTGAACAAAGCTCTGCTACAATAAGAACTAAAAACAAAGAACATAGTTCTGTCTTTGCCATATTTTTCTTATACAACAGAGTTTTCTTGAAGATTAGTTTTTCATATCATATATATATACTCCCTCTGTTTCTATTTATATGTCACAATTTAAAATTTTACGTGCATTAAGAAACTAAAATTAATGTAACTTTATTATTTCACCCTTATTTAATGTTTTTTGAAGTCAAATTCCTTTAATCAATAGACATGAATTAATTTGTTTAGTTTTTCTATATTGATCAAATGCATATTTTCAAGGCTAATAACTTATAGACGTAAAATAGGAAAAGTAATGTCATTTATGCTAATTTTGTGAAATGACAAATAATAAGTATCATTTATTCTATAAGTGAAAATTTTGATTTTTGGATCATTTGTAGCTATTCACATATAGTTCAGCCACTTTAATTTAATGTAGTAAAGTAATATTATAAGTTCATTGTTATAGTTAGTAAAGTTAAATTACTTTACTTTGAATTTTCTTTTTTAACTTATTAGTATATATTCAGAACATATTCAATGAAATGATTAAAAAAAAAATCTTCTTTGCCAGTAATTTTTACACGTGATACTTTGGGGAAGTCATAAAGGGTGCGCTACTGTTGTATTTTGGTAGGAAAGGAAAACGTTAAATTGCCAATTGTTTTATTATACTTAATAAATATAAACATGTACTAATTGATATGTATTGCTTCTCTTTTTCTAGTAATAAATTTAATTGACATTGTGATGTCTAATAATTTTGAAAAAAAATTAAGTTTTATTTGTCGGCAATGAATAGATATTTGGAAAGATTATCTAAATACATAATTTATTTTATTATATTTTTTAAAATTTTCTATCATTTAAAAAAATTATAAAAAAATTTATTCTCTTTTATTCTCAGATACATCACTTTACACGATGTATCGGGACATATGCGATATATCAAAACATTGAGTGATGTATTCGAAATCGAGGTGATGTATCAAAAAGTTGAGGGATGTATCCGAAACCAAGATGCGGTGTATCGGGACGGTTTGGGATGTATTCCGATCCAACCAGATTTGATGGATTTTTGTAATTTGGAAAAGAGTAGGGATAAGATGTAATTAGCTCTTAAAACTATGAGATTTGTGTAAATTTCTTATGGAAAAACTAAATATTATATAATATTTCTATCATATTTATTAATTCTTGTTATAGTTTTAAATAATTTTATATTGAAGTAATTTTGCTACTAGATACACTCTGAAGTATATATACATAGGAAGAAAGGCGAGCGAGAGAATCAGTATATCCCAGATATGCGAACCACACTAGTTACATGTATCTTGAATATCAAATATATTCCACATACATTCTGAAATACAAATACATTGAGAGAGAGGAGAAAAGCAAGAGAGCGAATCAGTGTATCGCACATTCACTTGAATACAATGTATCTAGGATAAAAGACACCTAATTTTGACCTTATATATCCATCTATTCAAGATACATATGGAGATCGTAATCTAACATAAATGATAATTTTGAAAAGTCATAAGAAGCTGGGTAATTAAACCCTAAATTAGTAGGAATTCTATTGTTTACCCTTTTCTTATATCATCATATTATGTAGACCTACTATAATAAATAAATTTTCATTACAAGTCTAATATGTAAGCATTATTATCCCTATCTTTACTCTTATGCGGCAGAGAAAATTGTTTCCTATTCTCTTAACAATCCTCTTTATTTGTTCGGACTTGAGACTGAAAATGTGATCGAGCTTACACGTTAAACAATTGTAATACATTTATTGATTACAAAGGCTGGTAAGACATCCACCTTGTGAGCATGGCCAGACATTCACGAGGCTTATACTCTGGTGCAGTATGCCCTGCTCCCTGTTAAATAAATAAAATTAACAAACCAATTTTAACACAATTTTTTTTTAAATAAGAAAAGAAAGTTGAAAAAAATAGATTGAGAGAATAGTTTCCTTGCCTTCACTGTGGCAAATGTCATCTGATTTGAGTAACTTCTTGTGTAACTGAAATCGAACGATAAAAAAAAACAAAAAGAGTTTAACATCTATACACTTGACAAATTTTCTAACTAATGTAGGCACGCGAATTTCAATGTACGTCTTTCATCAAAAACTAACCCGGCAACTTCATTGTCAACAGTCCAAGCTCGCCAATCATCGACAACAGAGTAGTTAAGAGATTTTATCCATGCTTGAGTTGATTGGAAAGTAACAAGCTTGTCATGATCTCCACTGCTTAATTCAATAAAACATTAGAGAAGTTGTTAGTTTCACATAGTTATTCCAATATTGTTGTAAACACAATTAATATCTCAACTCAACCTGTATACAAGAGATCTGTAACCTTTGCTACTGAGGTTCTCATGATAAGGTATGCTATTAGTGACCATCATTTGGTATTGCAAATTACTTGCACATCTCTCCCACTTTCCGACAGTCCCCTGTTACTGAATGAATATGTTAGTCTGAATTTAAGTTCTCCGCATTGACATTAAGTAAATAACTAGTGAATCTATAACATGCTATCATACCTTCCGGATGTTGAGGGCGTCTCTAACTTGATCATCATCAGCCCAATGATAAGAATGTTTGTACCAATTATTCTAAAGCAATTGCACATTGTAAATTCTTGTAATCAATTTAGCAGATACAAAAATCAATAGCCTAAAGAATGCAATATTGTATAGATAATAATTGAAGATGGAAAGACAATTACTCACGCGACATTTTAGTCCAGGAAGATTGTTAAGGTCATGTAACTTCTCATCAAGAGATCTTCTTTCGCCAAACAATTGGTGTGGCCTTGGCGAAAAAGGCTTACATTTGGGCTCCAAAATATGGGGATTATTAATTCCTTTAAGAAGCTGCATATAAGGTCAGTATTTTAATGAACACCTGTTTGATGCCAAATATCAAAAAAATAAAACAGATGATATTTTGATTTTATTTCAAATAGATCAATCCAATTCCAACCTCGTTAAAAGTTTGAACATCTTGCAAACACAGTACATTGCTTGGAATTATATTGAAATACTCTCCTTTACAATTTGATTTCAACGACTGTTTCATAAAAGTAAGCCAATAATGTAAGTAAAGTTAATCAGAGTGTACAAATATAACACCTAAAGAAAATCCAACCTCATAGAGTTCATCAGAAATAAGTCCCATTCCATAAGCAAATGGAATTCTATAATTGTCTTCACCTTCAAAAGTCGTTGGATTTCCAAGTAAATATCCCTGAAATTATTTGAAGTTGTGTTATAATAGGCATCCATTTTGTGTATCTTTCTACAGTTTACTGTACGAAAAATGACAAACCTTAAGATTAATAAATGGTTCGACTTCCATTATTTCATTTTCTGCATTATCACAGGGCCAACAAAATGTGAGAGCATAGTACTAAACCAGCAAAGTGTGATCCAAAACAAGTAACTGTAATTGTTAGAGGGAAAATATGTATAGTCTTACTAATTGCTATGATTTGAGTAATGACGGGAACAACCATGCCTGAACATGAATCTCCACCAACATAAAATGGATTCTCTAAGAATTCTTGGTGATCGACAAACCACTGCAAAATTATATTAGCAGGGTACTAGTTATTTCCTTTTGAAGTTCAAATACGTAATTAAAACTAAGTAATAATTACCTTGCAAAGGAACTGATATGCATGCTCACTCGCTTGTAAATCAGATGATTGTAGAGCTGCTGGAGTTGTCGCGTAGGAAAATCCAGTTCCCACCGGTAAGTCTAAGAAAATAATACTTGACACCTAAAAATACCATGATACTTTTTAACATTTTTGAATTGTGCACATTACATAGTACATTCAGAGGCGGACCAGGATTAGGAGTTGGAGGTTCTAAATTTTAGAACAGATAGTATGGTTCAAACCCCACTACTCTAGTGTGGAGAGCGTTTTCACTGTCCATTTCTTACCACTAAACTGACAATCAAAAGTTACTAGGTTTGTCCGAACCCCCACCTAGCTCACCCTGAGTACAATTTCAAAATCAAATACTCTCACCTTTGTCCATGAGTAGGGATTTAGGATCATTGTAGGGAAACTCCCATTGTATTCAACTGCCTCAAATGTTATTGGTCCTTCATATTCATAGTTCAAAAAGTTAAGAAAATGACTTATTAGTTACACAGTTTTTACAAGCTAGGTTAATACTTAATAAACGTTTATTCGTAATTATCTTATAAGTGAACTGAGCGCATTAAAAATTAAACTCATATAACGTACCCATCTCATAGATAAGGCCAGATAAAGCAGAGCAACCAGGGCCTCCCGTGATCCAAAGCATAAGAGGGTCAGAGTCTGGCTCAGACTCCGACTCTATAAAATAGTAGAATAATTGCACATTTTCTGAATCACCAACTCCAACATACCTGGAAACATCAGTCGATTAATTTCCGAAAAATTATAACAATTCAAAGTCCTTACAAATTTTCGAAAAAAAAAGTGAAAAATATCGGTGCCAGTTTCTCACCCTGTTTCGAGTTCAAAAGGAAGTTGTCCCTGAAAACCAGGAAGAAACTTCACTGTTGAACCAGTTGCTGCTGCGTGCTCTGCTACAACAAGAAGTAAAAATAAGCAGTAGCATAGCCCTGTTTTTGCCATATTTTTCATTTAACAGAGTTTTCTAAAAGTTAATCCTCATATTGTAGAGAATAGTAGAAGAAAAATATGATCAGAACCTTCTACTAGCCCAAAATCGTTGATTAAGATCAAAGATTCAACAAAAGAAGAGGAAGCTAGAAAAGAAAAGGAAGAATTTGGATAAAATAACTTTGTTACAAAGGAAGACTCTTTAATTGTCTTTGTTTTTTTATTTTTGGTTATGCTTGTAGAAATTATTCTAGATACATCTGCAAGAAATATCTAGATAACAAGAATCTAGATATTTATATACTTTACTATAAATATCTAATTATTTATAACATCTAAATTTTTCATAAGTATAAATACCAAAGTATACACTCTACAAAGTTCTAGAAAATTCTACTAAGTATTTAAGATATTTTTTGTACCTCCTAAAAATTAACTTTAATTTTTCACACATATCATATCATATATAATTAAAAGTGATGTAAACTAATCAAGGACTCCGAAAAATTTTACATGGTAGAAGCACAATTAACAATAGTTGTGTGACCCTCCATTGATTAGTTGACACTTGGATAATGAGTTCACTTTTTAACTCTTTACCATCTCTCTCCTACTCACCTCTCTTTTCTTTCATTTTCTTTTTTTTTTACTCCTAATAAATATCCAATTCTCAAAACATAATTAAATAATTAATACATTTAATTAAAAAATATAGATAAATACATTTTCAGTTAAAATAACTTAAACATTTATAAAATTGTTAACATTAAAAATAAATTTATTTTTCAATATATTTAATAGAATCAAATTAACTCAAAATACAAATTAATTTACTTTAGCATATAAATTGATTAGATAAGATTATTTTTGTTTTGATTTCTGATCTTATTTTGAAATTATTCATACTTTTTCTTTCACCATAACCATATTTAAAAATAAAAATGACAACGGGCCAGAACAGAACAAGGAGTGACGGAATCATAAACGTTTTAAAAAAATTTATACAGGTGAGGTGGGTCACAGAGCAAAATTTAAGTCTTTTGAATTAAAACCTTAATTTATATTAAAACTGTGATATAAATGTATTAAAAGTAATCAAGTGAAAAAGAAAATGTTATTGCTATAAATGGTAAATATTTTCTTAATATAATATATTTATATAAGTTTTCCTCTTTCCTTTCTGGATAGTTGTTTACTTAAGGAGAGGAAAGAGGAGAAAAGCCGGAGAGTGAATACATGCAAATTCTATTTTGACCTCATATATCGGTCTATCCAATATCCATGTATCTAGAGACCGAAATTTGGCACAAATGCTAATTTTGAAAACTCGTGAAAATGCACATAATTAGATCATAAATTGATAAGATTTGAGTTGTTTACCCTTTTCTATATTAAGTCAACTTACTAAAATAAATAAATTTTCATTACAAGATTGATATGATAATCTAGAAAAATATAGTATTAATCTATCATAATTGATTAAATTGCATTGATAATATATACACTGACGATCAGTGTTTTCAAAAACATTTTTGGGCGGGTCCCAGGTGAGTTTTGGGGCGGGGAGTACCAAAAATGCTTCGAGACACAAATTAAAGACGTAGATTCTTAGGGTGTAAGTCCTAGAATGTGGAGGGGGGGGGGGGAGAGGACATAAGCTCCAAGCGTAAAAACGTAAGTCATGGGCGTAAAAACGTATGTGCGAACGTTTTTTTAATTATTTTATTTTTGAATCTTTTTTTATTATTATTGGTGTAATGATATTTCTCAAATAGTAGTTGTAATACTTTTTTTCTTCATTATTGATTATTAATACCTTTCTCAAATAAAAATCATAATATTTTTTTCTATATACATTATAGGTTATAGAAATTTATTTGTAAGATAATTAAAAGTTTTACCTTTTGCTTATTTTCTTAATAATAAAATTATAAAATTGAATATACATGATATTGCGCTCCGTAGATCCATAAGTCTTACGCCCCATGTCTCGGGACTTACGTCTTGCTCCGTACGGGATAAAACGTCTCTCCTTACGCCCCGCCTTTTAAAACACAAATAAAACTTAAATTCATTTGGCAAAATAGTATTGCGTACACATAACACAGGATGTATCAATTTGAATGCAATAAAATTGACTCTATCAAAAATTTGGAGGTGATTAGGGGCGGGGCAGAGAAAATTGTTTCCTATTGACTCTTAACAACCCTCTTTATTTGTTCGGACTTGAGATCGACAATGTGATCGAGCTTACACATTAAACAATTGTAATGTAATACATTTGTTGATTACTATTAACGATCATGATTAAAATGTATATTAATTATGACATTCAGTTAGTTAGATTCCATTTTTCTGTTAGTTAGTGCAGTCAGTTAGTGATGTCATAGTCGGTTAGAGATAATTAGTTAGTTAGATATTTTCTCTTTCTATAGATTCGTTAATGCATATTCACACATATGACAACTACAAGTACTTCATTACATTAGTAGATGACTACAACAGGTCAACTTGGACACATCTTTTAAGTACCAAAAGCAATGCCTTACAAGTTCTGAAAAATTTCATAAGTATGGTGGAAAATCAATTCAATACCACAGTAAAAAACATTAGGACAGATAATGGTTTGGAATTTACCAACAATGAAACACACCAATTTCTTTTATCCAAAGGGATCATTCATCAGAAAACTTGTCCATACACACCACAACAAAACAGTGTGGTGGAAAGAAAACATAAATATTTGTTGGAAACAGCCAGAGCACTTTTGTTTCAATCTAAACTACCTATAAGGTATTGGGGAGAATGTGTTCTGACAGCCACCCATCTCACCAAAGACTTCCCTCAAGCCATCTGGAAAAAAAATGCCCCTATGAACTGCTGTATAAAAGAAAACCAAACTATAGCCAACTTAGATCCTTTGGGTGCCTTTGTTACCCCACTGTCCCAAAAGTACTTAGAGACAAACTTGAACCAAGAACCACCCAACATATTTTCCTGGGATATCTTTTTGGAACAAAAGGTTACAAGGTAATGAATCTGGCTACAAAGAAGATACATGTCTCCAGGGATGTGATCTTTCATGAACATGTTTTTCCTTTTACTTTGTCAGCTGAAAGCAATTCTTTTCCTTCTGTTTTGAGGTCTATTCCTTCTCCTGATTATACTGAATTAGCCTCATGTGATAATTGTGTAAGTGACTATAACAATGTAACTGATACAATTCCCATTCATCCACCTGATCACATCATTGAGGATCTCATTGCACAACCACCTCCTGCCCTTACCATTACATCTCCAACACCACCACAACATGTTCCTTCCACAGTAGTGCAAAGAAAATCCCATAGAGTCAATAAAATTCCACAACATCTAAAAGATTACATTGTCAACATTCCTAGTCTAAAACCTGTTGACATCACCACACAAAACACACAACATCATCCCAACAACCTTTCTCTTACTGCCTTATTTACCAAACACCACCATGTGTCTCTTGATGTCATTGCATCTAACAGTCAAGCTCTTGTTGAAAATGTTTGTCATGATAGTGAGCCATCATCATATGAGGAAGCATCACTGAGCCCAATATGGCAGAAAGTCATGACACAAGAATTTGAGGCATTGTATGCCAACAACACTTGGGATCTTGTAAGCCTACCAGCAGACAAGCAGGCAATTGGATATAGATGGGTGTACAAAGTTAAACATAGAGCAAATGGAAGCATAGAAAGGTTCAAGGCAAGACTGGTAGTCAAAGGATATACACAACAGGTTGGAATAGACTATACTAAAACCTACTCACCTGTGGTTAAAATGACTACTGTAAGAACCTTAGTAGCATGTGCTGTGAAGAAAGGCTGGGGTATGTTTCAACTTGATGTTAATAATGTTTTCCTTCATGGAGATCTTCATGAAGAGGTGTATATGAAAGTGCCTCCAGGTCTTGAGATACCTAATCCAGGACTGGTTTGTAAGCTAAATAAGTCGCTCTATGGTCTCAAACAGGCAAGTAGGCAGTGGTATGCCAAATTGACTGAGGCATTATCACTCAGGGGTTACACACACTCACATTATGATCACTTATTGTTTTACAGGAAGGCAAGACCCTTGGTAGTGTTTGTTGCCGTATATGTAGATGATGCTATTTTGACAGGCACAGATACAACTGAAATTGTACAGCTAAAAGTGTATCTCGACAACACTTTCAAGATCAAGGATCTTGGCAGATTCCATTATTTTCTGGGCTTAGAGATACTTGACACAACATAGGGGGTTCTTATTTCACAAAGAAAGTTTGTTTTGGACTTACTCAAAGAATATGATTGCTTTAATTATGCACCTCTGTCTTCACCACTAGATCCTACTGTCAAAATAAGAGCCAATGAAGGTCCTCCTCTATCTGATCCCACCTTCTATAGGAAGTTGATAGGCAAGTTGAACTTCCTTACATACCAGACTGGACATAGCCTTCAGTGTTCAACAATTGAGTCAGTTCATGCAAGATCCTAGAGCTCCTCATCTACAAGCAGCTTATCACCTTCTTAGATACCTAAAGAAGGATCCTACTTTGGGAGTACACTTATCTAAAGACCCTGACTGTACAGTTCAAGCTTTTTGTGACTCAGATTGGGCATCCTGTCCAGACTCAAGGAGATCAGTCAGTGGCTATTTAGTACTACTTGGGAACAGCCCCATCAGCTGGAAATCCAAGAAACAAGAGACTGTTTCCCTATTGTCAGCTGAAGCAGAATATAGATCACTCAGAAAGGTTGTAGGAGAGTTGACTTGGCTTCACAGGTTGCTTACTGAATTGACTGTTCCTATCTCTTCTCCTATTGCTGTTTACTGTGACAGTCAATCTGCTATATACATTGCTCGTAATCCTGTGTTCCATGAGAGAACTAAACACATTGAAGTGGATTGTCACTTTGTGCGCAATAAGCTTCAGGAGGGGCTCATTTCTCTGCACCATGTGTCCACCTCTAACCAACTTGCTGACATTCTTACCAAGGCTCTCACTGGTGTCAAACATTCAGCCATTTTACACAAG